TATGGACTCCTGGACTCTTTTAGAATATTTTGCTGAGTTTACACACCTATAATATTCAAATAATGGAACTGAGCAATAAAAGGGGATACCGATGAATGTCCAGTTTGTATCTGTGTATTCAAAGTGGTTAGGATAAATATGTAGTTACATTCTCTTAATGAATAGAGGGATTTGTTCTAATAGTGTTTGTAAATAGGATATCATATCTGAATCTTTTACAGCAATTAACCACTAGGAAGAATGTATGGAATGTGTCAATTATTGAAACTGTCCTACCAATTTGGTTTGAATCTGTCTCTTTGGTATTTGTTTCTCAATAAAAATGTAGAAAAAAAAAACGAAAAACACTTTGTCTGCAAGATAGAGTATTCTTCTGGTTATATGATAAGTTTTTTTAATAACTCCCTTGACATCCTATCTAACTTGGGTTGAAAAAAGTCCCCTTTACTGATTTCCATGCACGATAATGTTAGCAGTTTACTTCAGGTGAGATGTATGGTCCATCTGATTGTAATAGTATATTTAATTTATATATTCAATATTTTATAACTTCATATGTAAATGTCCCACAGAGACTTTTCTTATGAGGTTATTGGTCATAACTGAATTAACAGAAGTTAATAGGCATAAGGCATCTCTCTGATCTTAAGGTCTAAATTTAGAATTGCTATTTAATTAGTAATAAACATCTGTATTTACTTTTTTTTTTTTTTTCATGAATTTGGGACAGAGTATACAGGGTTTCACTACAAAAATCAGACTCATAGTTATTCTCCTGTTTTAAGCCTCCCAAGCTCTGGCATTACATGTGCATGCCACCACACCCAGTCTCAATCACCGTCTCAGCGCACCTCAGGGGCAGGGCTAGCATGGCACTCCGGGGATGGAACCCCAGCTGCTGGACTATCTAAGCAGGTGCTTTAATCTGCTAGCTATCTTGCTCCCTATATTTACATATTAAGGAAATGCTTATTACATATATTGCCAGTAGAGATGTTTGGCTACTAGAAATTTATCACATAGACATTTTATTAGAAGACCTAATTTTTTTTTCAGTTAAAACTTAAAATTTCACACTGATCCTGATAGAGGTCTATGTCAATTGTCTATGAGTGCTTTAAAATGACAACATGCTTCATCTTAAAATTTGTAATTTTATAGTACTAAAACTTCCATTTTTTATTTTAAAAAATGATACTTAATTGAATTATGTTAGTGATTATTTTAGAACCATGCTTAACTTAAGCTCCAAGTAGATTTTTAAAGGTTTTAAAACATTTGTATTTTTTCCAGCAGATGTCAGTGTTTGCTGTTGATGAACAGAAGTATTAAGAGAAATATTTAAACTTGTTCTTGTAATAATTTAGAATACTTTCAGTTAATCTTTGTAAATACCATATTGGAGTGCAATGTTTTGTTTTTCTTGTTTTTAGATATGATATCCATTTTATTGAAATATAAGGACTATTTTTAATATTTAAGATTTTGGGGGTTAATGAAGCAGTGAGTATAAATATAAAATGTGAAAGATCACCTAGACAATACAGTATATTTTTTGTTTGTTTGAGTTTTTTTTGTTTGTTTAGTTGGGGTTTTTTGTTGTTTTTTGTTTGTTTGTTTGTTTGTTTTTGGTTTTGGGGTTTTTTTTCTGCAGAACCACAGATTGAATCCCGGCCCTTGCGCTTGCCAGGGAAGCACTTATTCTGCTGAGCCATCTCAGCCCCGAGAATACAGTATATTTTAGTGTATATCTTCATAAGTAAATATTGGGAGAAAGTAAGTTAACTTCAGGGGTGTACTTCTATAGCAGAGATGAGCAGGCATTTTATGTGAAAGACATCAAATGACAAATTGCAAGCATTTGAAAAGAAAAAAATATTTGCAAAAAAAAATTGTTAAATTTAACAGTGAGCAAAAATGTAGGAATTCCCTTAGAATTTTTATTTATTTATTTGTTTGTTTGTTTATTTATTTATTTATTTATGTATTTTCCTGGTACCAGGGATTGAACTCAGGACCTTGTGCTTGCCAGGCAAGCACTTATTCTGCTGAGCTATCTCCCCAGCCAAACTTTCAGAATTTTAGAGAGCTACACCCTCCAGAGTAAGCAGAAAATATACCAAGTTCCAAATACAGCTGTGATCATGCCTTACAGACCATGGTTTGATCAGTTAGCAGGAATAATTGTCTGATAGTGAGCTTCTTATCATTAATATATCCCTAAATTAGGCTTTCAATTTTATTACTATTGATGTAGTATACTGTTAGGATTTAATACCCAGTCAGCCTCAGACCAGATTAATTCAACAGTTTAAAGATTTAATTGGTTTCATATAAGCAGAGCAGAGGAGGTTGGTTTTAAAGACATAAAGGGGCTAGAGAAAGGAGCAACAAGGGGCAAAAAGTAGATTGCTTCTTTCAGAGTTCAAAAGTAGATTGCTTCCTTCAAAGTTACTTTTCTTAACGAGTTAAAGAGGACTTTATGCTGGTTCAGGTAAATTAGGCCCTTCCTGTTTGATTGCTTTGAATCTTCTGGATTTTTTTTAAACTACCTTATTCCTGAATTATTATGTGTCACACATAGCATGAGTGACAATTCTGGTGTGTTCTAGTCTGCTGCTGCCTAGTACCAAAACAGTGGCCTCCCACAAACTTTGTTTCATTAAGAATTAGATAGTAAATGTAGTTAATACTGAAGTCTTCCTTTACCCAAAGGACATAACATTCTGGATCCCCAATGGATACCTGAAACTGGATAATGGGGAAGTTATGTTTTTGTCTTAGACATATATACTTACAATACAGTTCAATTACGATCAGGGATAGATAAAACATAACATACTATAATGAAAGTTATGTGAATATGGTGTTCTTGTCAAATGTCACTATACTTTAAATGTTTTATTTAAAGGGTGCTCCTCTTTGCCATATCCTAATTGGTACCATAACTTGGGGGCTATGATTAAGTTAAATAATGCTAACATATATAGTCACAATGATACTTAGACATTTGATCTGGTAATCAGGGCAGCTACTAAGTAGTGAATAGGCAGGTGGCATACAGTGTGAATCTGCTGGATAAAGAAATGATTTATATCCCAGTCAGGATGGAGTAGAATAATATGAGATTTCATTACACTAAAAAGTGATGAGTGATTTAAAGCTTAATTATTTTTATCTAGAACTTTCCATTTAATGTTTTTACTGTAGGTAACCAAAACAATCAAAAATGGGAGGCAGTGTATGCCACTGAATCACTGTCGTGTAGCTCTGTTATATTTGTGAAAGCAGCCTTAAACAGCAATGTATAGATGAATAGATGGCAGTGTTCCCATAAAACTGATAATACAAATAGGCAGCAGGCTGGATTTGACCCTAAGGGTATAACTTACCAGTTTCTGATTTAGCCTTTGTCCTGTGTCTCTTAGTCTTGAACTGTTGAGTACCAGCTGAAGGCCAGAGGTTGATAGTGTAATCTTTTCATTTTGGATGGGCCAAAAGTCCATGTTCCTCAGCATGGTGTGATCTTTGGTATCATCACTCAGTTCTTAGCCTCACTTCTGGCAGTGTGTGCTGTGTCTCTGAGAATGTTGCCTCCTCCTCACACAGCTCAGCTCTTTGCTAAGAAACCAGGGTAAATTGCTGTGTAGGCTACTCAGGAGCCCTGTCAGACATCTCCCTCTTTTAAGTACTGTCTGAATTCCAGTTGCTTCAGTAGCCCAGAACTCTTGCCTTCTTAACTCGGTGACACCATCACTTTGCTAGGGCTGTATTTTGTCCATATTTTCAAAAGAAAAGGTTCCTACACAGTAAGCTAGAGCAGAAGTAGAGATTATCTCATTTCACTTGCTCAAAGACTACAATCCTGTCTGTTGTTCAGTTTCTATAAACAGTTGCCATGTACATTTTGGTCAGTTTTAAGTTTTTAGCAGGACAATGAGTTCAGTACTTACTTCCTTGTTAGAACTGAAAGTAAAACTCTGTGCCCTTGTTAAACATTCATGGTTTATTTTTTTAAGCGCTTTAATGTGTTAACACCTTTTCACTATCTGCACTTCCAGTAAAAATAATACAAACATTATAGTAACTAGGCTAATAAGACCCAAATTTTGATACATGCAATGTGGTATGAAGCAGTTAAACACTTATCATATATGTGAAGAATCCCAGCTTGTTAGAAACACATAACCTATAATCTAGCACTCTGCGACGCTCTAGTGGAGAATTACAAGTTCAAACTCAGCCCTACCCAGCCTTGACTTGACTTTGACTCCAAATAAAAGTAAAAAGAAAAAATAAATAAATAAATAAAAAATAAAATAGAATTAAATAAATAAATAAATTTTTTAAAAAAAGTAAAAAGAATGGGGAGTGCAACTCCGTGCAAAAGCCCTAGTTCATTCCACAGACCACCAATAGTAATAATACTTGGGCTATGTAATGAAAAGTATCTTATTTACCCTTCTCTTTCTCTTATCCAGTTTAAACTTTAGAACAAAATGAAGACAAAACAACAAAAAATAATACAAATAATACAATTTCAAAATAAAATAATAGGAAATTAACAATGGTTATGTTCCTTCCCAGAAGTATAAAGCCAGATGTTTTGATAAACAACTAAAGTTTCTTTCAGATTAATGAAAGTTTCTGATTTTTTTTGTTTTATTGTCATTTTTACTTATTTCTAATCTATGATACAGAATAGCAACTGTATTTTTTGTAATTTTCACAGATTTGTGAATTAATCATACAAAACTGATAAGACATTTCGTAAAATGAAAATAGTACAGAAACAGAATTTAGACTGTTGAAAAAATTAAATTTTTTATTAACCATTAATTTTCTGAAATAATGAAAAGCTGAAGCCTTTATAGTCCATTTTATGATTAATTTTGTAGTAATCTTACTATATTCTATATCTGGAGCAAATGCTTATCTGAGAATTTATTAAAACTAGTGATGCCTTATTGAGCCTAGTATTTGTACCTTTTTCTATGCAGTTCATTAATGGTGCTAAGGAAATCTGCTATGCTCTTCGAGCAGAAGGCTACTGGGCTGACTTCATTGATCCATCGTCCGGTGTGGCTGTGAGTAATTAATTTTGAAAGCCAGATAATTTGAAGTAGGGATAGTTTTTATTATAAAATTATTTATAATTACTTATAATTATACATTTGGTAAAATTATTTATAATTATACATTTACTAGTTTTTTAACATCTTACAAATTTACCCAGAATATTATACTATCAATCAGTTGCTTTTAAAATGTTGGAGAGCCGGGGAGATGGCTCAGTGGAACAAGCACTTCCCTGGCAAGCGCAGGGGCCTGAGTTCAATCCACAGTTCTGAAAAAAAAAAAAAAAAAAAAAAAAAAAAAAAAAAGGGTAGTAAAACTTTGGAGAGACCTCTTAATCACTCATAGTTTCTTCTGTACTTTATTTTGTGGAGCACAAATTATTTTCAACCTTATTAAGTATGATTATATTTACTTTATGTTACTGAAAATGCAAGATTAGAAATTAATGCATTCTGGTCTAGTTTAAGAAACTATTGCAGATGTTAAGAAAATACTGCTTACATAGTAAAATATTTGGAGTAGTAATGGCTTAGAAGTGAACACTTAATTATATTATACTTTGAAGAAAATGACCACCTTGTACCATTTTATATTGTGAATGTATCCTTGGATTATAAATAGGAGTCAAATCTTTTTTTTTAATCTTAAAATATGAATATGCAGTACTGCTTCTGAAAAATAAAGATGTAATATAGAACAGAAATGGAAAGCTTGTACTCTGGGCTTTTTTTTTTCCTTGTCTTAAAAATGAAAGTAAACTAAAGATGATTTCATTAAACTTCATCCCATTTAAAATTTGTGTGGTGGTACAAATTTGATTCTAGATAACTGAAATTGTTAGACCATGCATACCACATTTCCATAATGCACAGTTATTGGAGGAGGGCTACTAGGACAGTTTTAGTTATGATTGTAACTTTTTATTTTTCATTTCACTTTTTAAAATATCTGGAGTGTTAAAATATATGTTCATCCTTGCATAAAAATTATTACTGCAGTATCTTTCTAATGAAAATATTACTTGACTTTTTCCCTCTAGTTTTTTGGACCATATACAAACAACACTCTTTTTGAAACGGATGAACGCTACCGACACTTAGGATTTTCTGTTGATGATCTTGGCTGCTGTAAAGTAATCCGCCATAATCTCTGGGGTACCCATGTATTTGTAGGAAGTATCTTCACTAATGCAACACCAGACAGCCATATCATGAAGAAATTAAGTGGAAATTAGCCCGTAATGTCATTTTATTTGCTCTATTTGTATTTAAATGGATTGATCAATATAAAATTGTCAAAAGACTTCACTTTTTAAAATATACTTATTTTGGATATTTATTTCAGCATATGTGGATTTACAACATTGATGAGTGATTGGGATTTTAAAATCACAAATGTTAATTCATATTGTTACTGAACAACATGTTAAATATACCACATTGGACAGAATGTGGAAATTAACATGTAAACAGTATGTGATCTATTAATGTGAATTTCCCACTTTATTGGAAACTTTAAATTTGTTTTCCAAAAATAAAGCATACATTTGGTTATAATGTGTGGCTTTTTCATTGTGGTTTTTTAAAAATACAATTTTTAAAGATTCTGAAGGTGCACTTTTTTTTGTAATATAGTTAATTCTAAATTCATTATAAACTTCACTTTTTCTAATATTCTTTCTCTTTATTGTCTATTATATGTCCTGGTACCAGTTTGAGTATTATACCCTTATATGAGCAGCTGAAAGAAAAAGACAGTAAATACATCTTTATGTATAAAAACATGTGAATCTCATTCTCTCATTTCTTTTCTTTTTTTTTTTTTTTTTTTTTTTTTTAGAGAAGGGTCTACAGGGTTTTCAGGGTCTCACAACTAGATTGGACTCCTAGTGATCTGCCTGTTTACAGCCTCCCAAGAGCTGGGATTACAGGTGCATGACACCACACCCACTCTCAATTGCCATCTCAGCACAACCTGGGGACGGGGCCGGCATGGCAAGCCCAGGGATTGAACCCCTGCACCCTGCACCTGCTTGCAGGTGCTTTAATATACTGAGCTATTTGGCTAGCCCTTCATTCTCTCTTTTGGATGGCAGTTATTATTTTCATACACAGAGAACTCAGTTGAATCCCCAGGCCGTTGTATTTTTTATGTTTGGATAAAGTCTCTCTAAATTACCCAGGTTGTCCTCAAATTTATAACCCTCCTGGCTCAGCCTCTTGATTGGCTGGGGTTACTGTGAGCCACCATGTAGGTTTGAATCTCATTCTTAAACACAGTGAAAAAATAATTAACTCCTGAGTCGAGACAGGTAACTTTCAGATAAAACTTGCTTCAGTTCCCAAATCATTTGTGTAGTTACATTATAAATGTGAGTTTTAGATTGGGGTTCTTTTGTCGTGGTGGTATTGAGTCCTTAGGCAGGCACTGCACCAAGCTACAGTGCTGCCTGACAAGCATAAGGCCCTGAGTTTGATTCCCAATACGAAAAAAATAAAAGTGATGGTTGTATGATAGCTTCATTTTTTAGCCTTGTGAACTTTAAAAGAATTACTATTTGCAAGGCTTTTGCCAGTAAAAAATGAAAAATCTCAGAAAAAAAATTCTAATAGCATTAGTTGAAATGAACTTTCTCTTTTAGTGAAATGCCAACTTAAAAAATTACATGGAGGGGCTGGTGAGATGGCTCAGTGGTCTAAAGCACCTACTTGGAACAAGCTTAGCAAAGCTCAGGGACCGCGGTTCAATCCCCCAGCACCACATGCCAGCCAGCCCCGCCCCCTGGTGGGCTGAGCTGGTGACACACACACACACACACACACACACACACGCACGCATAAATTAAATTAAATAAAAAATCTTTAAGCTCAAGGTCCTGAGTTCAATTCTTGGTAACTCCCAAAACAAATTGTAAAAAATAATAAATATGCCTGGATTCAAGGGAACCTGGGTGTAAGAGAGCTGTGGGGATACTTGCCTGGACAGATAGATGCACACGGGGTAACAGGGACCTGACCAAAGCTGTAGCTGCTCACCT